CACCCGGGCCAGAGCTGCTGCTCGCACCCGCTACTGGTGCCGGGCCCCAATCACTCTGCGCCTTCAGCGCGTGGGAGTGGCAGGACCGGGCCTGCAGCAGGAGGGGCCGGGCAGAGGATGGGCCGAGACCCGCTCCTGTGCCTACCGCAGCCTTGTGGCCCACAGTTCCTTTCAAGGTGCACGATTCATGCACTGGGCCCCTAGTGATGATTATAATCATTGTAATTATTACTATTATATTTGTTAACAATATGATACTTTTTTCTGAGAGATCTATATCCCTTAAGAAGAGCACACAGAAAGAGTAATTTCTTCAAAGGCTCAAACTGAAGATATTCAAGGGCATCTCAGCTTTTTTTCTAGATTTCCAGGGTTAGGGATAAAGAGCACTATCGCTCAAGGCAGATAAAGGAGTGGATTTTCTATAAATCCTACTGCTATCATCTTTCTGCATATATTATCTCGCCTAGGTATTGGTCCTACGGCATTAAGGGCCTTCACCACTTCATAGGCATTTGCAGAAATGTTTGGGAGGAAGAGCAGCCTTGAGCCAACTGGGCTGGGCTGCTGGAGAGGTGGCTGACAAGCTCCTCCCTAGAAAGGATGGACATCACAGAAACGGGTGTCTGGACGCATACAAGTCCATTCACATCTTCCCTTCCAGAACCTATAATCCCTCCCCATGTCTTTTTTCACTTCTTGCCAAGCAAAAGATGATTTTAAACTCACAATTATAGTCAAGTACTTCTTGGCTCGGCTGCTTTTTCTATGAAGTACCTAAAACAAACTGGGGCATTTGCTTCCCTGAAAAGCCTCTTTTCCACCTTAAAAGGATTCCACTCACTTCCCTCTATTACTTCCCTCCAGGCCCCATCAAACCTACTCTGAATTTCCATATTCCATTAATGAATGCGTGTGTGACAAGTATCAGTGCTTTCAGTGAATGGTTCTCAGACTTTAGCATTAGAATTACCTGGAGAGCTTATTAAAACACAGATGGCTAGGCCCCATCCACAGAAATTCTAATTTAGCAGGTCTGAAGTAGGATCCAAAATTTTGTACTTCTAAAAAGTTTCCAGGTAATATTGATGCCGCTGGTCTGGACACCACACTTTGGGAACCCCTGCTCTCAACATGAAATTCCAGGTATAGGGAGCAGGATGAGAATCTTTAGAGTAGCAAGGTGCCACACTAAATGTCTCTTCTATGGGTCAGGTTAACCTGGGTCTGTGGGTGTCACCTAAGTTTGCCAAGACCTGGCTCACACGGGTGGAGCAGTGCTGTGCAGAAATGTTCCTCTCACAGCTGGTCTCAGCCATGCAACCCTTTGTCCAGCCCATTTGTGCACAAGCAGTAAGTCCCTCATGAAACACATTTTACAGATGATGAATATGGCAACCAATTGGTCTCTATGTGTTTCCACAGTGTTAGTGTGGTTTCTCCAAACTTGTGAAGTCAAGGGTTAAGTTTATAACAACTCATGGAACCAGCCATTTCCCCACTAGACAATGTAAGGTTTCAGACACATACAGAATATTCAATGATTATATCTGGATTGACATGAACTGGTCCAGAACTGTGAAGTATATAAGCATATCAATTCTCTTCTGGAAATGCTTTTCTCTCATTTTAGTAGCAGTTCATTCTATGAAAACAAGAAAATCACCAGGGCATTGCTCCCACTGGTGTTAACCATGTACACACACATACAACATTATTACGTGCATGTAACACAAAGTAGTAAAGTGTTTTCTATTCTCAATCTTAAGTATTTTTCTTCAAAATTTAAAGTTTTTCTGTGCCGAAGGAATTTTTCATTTAAATTGGGGTATTTTATTTCTCCTTGCTTTAATAGCCAAAGTGTTGTTTCACATCTTCCTTTTCCTTTGGCATAAATTCAGCCAATGCTCACCCCTTGTAAGCAAGAATTTGTTCTGAGTCTGAAAAATAATGCAGTTACTCATCAGGAGCTAGGCTGAGCTGGGAGAGAGGCAGCTGAGCTGCCAGGTGTTGGAGTAGCCAATTAAGGCAAAAAGACAAAATGAAGGAGTTAAGTCTTAGTCACTTACTGCAATAGTCTAAGCAAAAATCTAAAATCAGAAAAAAATTCCAACTCGCCTTGTTCCATTTCCCCCCGATGGAACAGCACACTTGTTGAGGGTCAGATGAAGGAGCACATATATGCGGGGGGGGTCATCTCACTGTTGAGGGAACCCCAAACAAAATGCGTTGGCAATTCTATGGGCCCTTAAGTCATGGGGAGAGCGAGGGAGGAGGGCTAGGAGTATAAAAGCACTGGGTACTGAGTCAGAGTGCGAAAAAGATTTTCCTTTCTCCCCAGCAGAGGCGCCTAAAGAAGATTATGCCAGAGGCCTCAGATAAAGACCTAGGAATGAAGGCACCGGGCCAGGAACGTAGAGAAGAGAAGAGCATGACTGGCCAGAGGGGGTGAGTCCCAGACTGCAACTCCCTCCCGAGACCGCAATGCTCAGGCCTTGCGAAGTCTGGTGTGTGGAAGGCAGCTTTCCCCCGTGAGGGCCTGCCAGGGAAAGCCTTAGTAACTGCCTGTGCTCGAGCCTGAGAAATCACACACAGGTTTTTAACAGGAATCAGACTCCTCATTACTGACAGCTTAGTGAAAGTCCACTTTGTCGTTGTCCAGCCAGGACTAATTTTGATGAGATTCAGCCATCCTTGAATGGATTTCTAGTTCCTCGTTTCCTACACTGCCTTTGACCAAATATGGACAGGCCTAGGGTGAAATGATGGTAATTAATCATGGTGACTATAGTTGAAGAAAAAAGAATAATGGTGTACGTGTTCATAAACATCCATTTATTTTAAATAATCAAGAAATTACATAGCCGGGGAGAAACTGAGAGTGGCAAGTTATTTATTCTCCTCTGACCTGCTTCCTTTTTTCACCCTTGTCATACATAAATCACTTTCAGACACACCGCTTCTTCTGCGTTCAGGGTTGGCTCACTGTTGGGGAGCCAGTGCAGCTCGTGTGTGCATGAGCAAGCGGTGAGAGAAGAATGAACAGGCACAAAATAAATTACAATGGAAAATATAATTACAAACAAAATCTCTTGCGAATCCAGAAAAACCTCTCCACAAAAGTAGAAGAGAAAGAAAATAGTTTTAGCTGTAACCAGTTTGGCTCAGTGGATAGAGCATCGGCCTGTGGACTGAAGGGTCCCAGGTTCGATTCCGGTCAAGGGCATGTACCTTGGCTGCGGGCACATCCCCAGTGGGGGGTGTGCAGGAGACAGCTGATCGATGTTTCTCGCTCAACGATGTTTCTAGCTCTCTATCCCTCTCCCTCCCTCTCTATAAAAAAATCAATAAAATATATTTTTTTAAAAAAGAAAAGAAAATAGTTTTAGTTTTATTACTGAATAAACATGAAACCAGCATATAATGTCCATCATTGACAACCCACTAAAGAGACTGCAAGAACAGAGAGAAATCGTAACTGTTTATGTGGAAAAGCAAATACAACATCTTAAATGTCAAACAAATGGCATCTGTTGCCTCTCACCAGGAGTAGAAGTGCAAACACGTCTGCCCACTGCATCTTGGTATTAGAGTCACCAAAGAAAACACAACACAACCCTGGTAGGCCTAAGATGAAGTCACTCATGCTAAGCCCCACATTAGCAAGCCAAAACTTAACTAAGTTTCTATGCTCAGCTCTCCCGGAATAGGAGGCCTAGGCCAACCAATCAGCGCTTGCCCACTCAGCACAAGTTACGGGACCCCGCTCTGAGAAGTCCCTTTGATCCATAGAAGAAAAGTAACCCTGCTTTAACCAATCAGCAAATGCCCAGGATAGTAAGTCATCCCTTAACACCGTCAATAGGTTCTTGGAAACGTTGACTTTAAGCAAAATGACGTATAAGGAAACCAATTTTATCACAGGCTAACTGATGTAAACAATAGTTAAGTCTCCACAGCATTTTTCTGGTCACAAAACAACACCAAACTTCCCATTAAAGACCCAAAACACTTCTAATATTAAACATTGAAATAAATGTGAGCTGTGCATGCATTTAAGAAAAATTAATAAAAACATGTAAGATGATTATTTTCTCACTGTTTATTCCAGTTCAGGGACGTGGGTGGCCAGAGCCTCTCCCAGCAGCTCAGGGCACAGGCAGCATACACCATGGACAGGACGCCCTTCCATCACAGGGTACACTCACCCACACTCTCTCAAGACAGGGATAATTTAGATGCCAATTCACCTCACCGCACATCTTTGGGATGTGGGAGGAAACCAGAGTCCCCAGAGAAAACCCAGGCAGACATGGAGAGAAGATGCAAACTCCACACAGACAGTGGCTCTGGCCAGGAATCAATGTTTTTTTTCTCATCAACATTATAACGAAATGATGTCGAACAAAAAGTATGTTATTCAACCTGTTGTATAACTTCCTCGAATGCTGCCCAACTTATGAATCACTGAATAATGCCAATAAAAGGGAAATAAGCCAATCAGAGAAAGGTAAATATCACATGATTTCACTCATCTGTGGAATCGAATGAACAAAATAAACTGATGAGCAAAGCAGATCCAGAGACACAGAACCATGAACAGACTGATGAATTTCAGAGAGAAGGTGGGGGTGAGGGAGAGATTAACCAGGGAACTTATATGCATACATGCATGGCCCATGGACTCCGACAACAGTGTGGCAAAAGCGTGGGAGGGGTGGGTGTGGGGAGGAGGGGGTCAATGGGGAAAACAACAACAACAAAACATGAAGTGGACATCTATAATACTTTCAACAATAAAGATAAATTTTTAAAATACTAAATAAATAAATAAATAAATAAATAAATAAATAAAATATACTCATTTGACGCTTTGACTACAAATCTAGTATGACCAAAAATGAAAATCCTCTTGTCTTTCTTATCATTTGTATAAACTTAACTCTGCAAAAAACTGTAAAAAAAAAATTGAATTCAAATCATAAAAATATTAGACATACCTACATGTGAAGAGAATAGAGGTTCAAGGTATGCTTCTTCTCTTCCAAGATTCTTTAAACAATGACACAGTTCATCCAAATTGGATTAATTAAACCATGGAGTCACGTTCATTTGCTCGTTTCTGTTTTCTATTTTTGGAGCAATCATTCTTTTGAAAAGAGTTGTATTGCTAAAAAAGAAAAGAATTTGGGGATGAATGGGAGAAATAATGGCACAATCAAGTTTGATGTTTACCATCTGAAATCGTTTGTGTGGAAAATTAGTACTTTGGGATAAATACAAAACTCCCTCTGATCATGAAATTGTAGGGGGCGACCCAGGAATCAGAAGACACCAAGAGTTTATGGTCAATTTATTCCATTTAACTGTTGATTATAGCATTTACCTAGCAAGTGGCATCCAATTAAGGCCTGAATCATAATGCACCTGGGGACGGTGACATCGGTGCCAGGAGCCCTCCGCTGCCACGTGGCATTTTACGGGCACTTCGGGGCACTTCTGAGAGAGGAGTCAACAAAGGCTCGGAACCTAGTAAGCAAGACTCCCGCACCTCAGTGTTCTTTTGCTGAAGACCAGAGACCTGTTTGGGCGGCGCTGCTGACTCATTCATACTATTAGGAGCTGTCAAGAGCTCTTCCTACCAGGCTAATAACACCTGAGGTCTAGAGTCTCTGTGAGATGCCAGGAAAAGGACCCCCCTCTAGACTTGCTATTTCGCTTCTGATACCGATTTATGCTTATTCCAGGGTGAGGCCCTGCATTAGGCTTGGCAGAGATGCTGGCCATCAGCTGTGCAAAGGGGTGAGCAAGGTGAGAATTTGTCTTTCCTCAGTTCCTTACAAGCCTCCCCCTGTAAGGAGAGCACCACGGTTCTCCCCTGGTTTGGGTTTTTGTAATGCAGAATATGGGAAAGATAAGAAGAGACAGGACTGTGAGTGCAGAGAACAGGGAAAGGAGAAAAATGCCAAGGGCCATACCTGGGCTCCTGAGGGTGGAGGAGGAGAGTTAAGAAGAGGTTTGAAAGGGAGGCAGCCTCCCAGCAGCTTGAGGAGGTGAGAGACTGAGACGGGGTCCAGGGGGCTTCAGCAGGTGCTGCTGAAGGGGGTGAATGCAGCACCCTTTCATGTGCTTTGAGAGACGCAAGTCACAATCCATTATCTCAACTGCAGCAATGGCTCTGAGACTGGCTACATGAAGGCAGGGCACGAATCCAGTCAAAGATGGTTTCTTTTCCCATTGTCCAGAATATAAGGTGATGATGGCTGTACTGATATTAAATACTTCATTAGATAGTGCCCCTGGAAGAGCAGGCAGATCTTATCCTTCTCAGTCATTCATCTGAGGCACAGGAAAGCAGCTCAATGTATGGTAAAGAAGGAAAGAAGGAAGGAAGGAAGGAAGGAAGGAAGGAAGGAAGGAAGGAAGGAAGGAAGGAAGGAAGGAAGGAAGGAAGGAAGGAAGGAAGGGAGGTTAACCTGATGGCCCTCAGCCAGCAACACTGCACCCTGGAAAGATCTGAGTCCACAGTCCAAGTGACTTAGGTCACTTCAGCCTCTGTCACTCACTAATGTGGGAACAAGAACAAAACATTGCTGGTCAAGTTAATAAAGAGTTTTTGTATTTTGAATGTAAGTTCTTTATCAGATATGACTTTTGAAACTATGTTCTTCTATCTGATTTAAAAGACAACTGCATAAAGCAATTTTAAACACCATATTTCCAAAGAAGGTCACACTTTGAGCACTGGGGGTTAGGACTGCGATATATAAAATTGTGTGGCAGAGGGAGGGGAGGCACGATTCAACTCACAACAACCAGCGTAGATCAGCCCACAGCCAGTCTATCCCTAGACATATGAGCCAGCCCAGCTAAGATCAGCAAGGCCAATAGGCTGACCACCCAGACATGTGAGCAATAAGTGCTTCTTGCAGCAGGCCACTGACATTTTATAGTTATTTGTTATATAGCATCATTATGATAATAAATGACTGGTACGTGGACTGTGGACATAATCTAAGAACTCGGGGTTTTTTCTATTTCTTAATGGGACAAAATGCTCCCCTAAATAAAGAGGGATGTTAGCTGTATTATCCAGCACTTCCCTATACTTTAGTTTATCTAATCTACATCACTGCCACAAAAGAAGCCACTGCACTCTTTTCTATATGGGACAGCAACTCATTTTCCACCCTCTATTGCGAGGTTCCTGCCCCTATGAAACTCATGCCAAGCTCTGGAGGAAATCGGGGTGGAGACAATGTAAAGAGGGAAAGCGATAATGAATTGGATCAATCATTGTTTGAAGAGAACATCAGTATCTGAGAAACTCAGAACCCACAAGCCAGCTCTGTTTGGGGCTTTGAAGCAGTGAATTCTACACAAATGGTGGGTAGAAAAGTGGTTCCCATCCATTGCAGTAACTGTTGGAGCACAGCATAGGAGGACAGCTGCCATAGCAATGAGAGGTCGGTACTAAGGCAGGACCAGGAAGTATACCCTGGCCATTCAGTGGTTATTGGGAAGGAAATAATCACCAAATGGCTTCCAAGGTGGTCGGGGGAAAGGTGCCATTCAACAGCGCGAGAGAGAGCCCTCCAAGGGCTCTAAAAGGCAAAGAGCAGTGGTAAGGGCCAGGGCATGAGTCAGATGATTTGGAGGTGATATTGCCAATTACCACTGAGCCAATAATTGGTTGATGCTTAATCACTACTGCTTCCACCTTCCGATTTGTACCCGCTGCTTAAAATGGAAATCACTGGGTAACTTTTGAGATGATATTGAGGATGGGCTTTATTTTAAAGTCTGACGACAGTATAGAGGACTTGCTAGTGGCCTGGGATCTGGGGGTGTTTTTTCACAGCACACTAATGAGAGTCTCATCAAACTCGGAACCACTCACCACGAGAAAAGGACAATAAGCCACGAAACAGACTAACCGTAGAGATTCAGAGATAGACTAAGAATAGTTCAAGGACATGAGATTATGCAATTATGACTAATAATTCCATTATTTTTCATGAGAAGAGGAAAAAAGGTAAAAAACTCATAATGTGACCTACTTTCCCCTCTGTGAAGATAATCTATTTGTAGTAGGGAAAAAACAGTAGTTATAGTGTCTACAGGAAACTGAGAATGGCATTATACTTAAGTACAGAAGAGATACTTTTGAACTTGTTCAGACTCCCTCTGACATGTTAACCTCGCTACAGTCACATAACATTTGGTTAAAAACTGTTTATAAATGAAATAAGCCATCAGCTTCTCTAATTAATCTCATTTTGGGATCTTTGCAACAGTATTAGGCTATAAATTATAGTATATTAGATGATAATGACAAGAAAAAAGAAAAAGTGCTAATAATTCTCTATTAGCCTGGACTCTAATTCTATATTCACACAAAACAGAGAAAATACCTAATGTACATATTTAAAACACATCAGAGAAAAAAAAAGAAAGGGATAGAGATCATTTCAAGAGTCCAGGGAAAGTTTCACACTGTGTAATATAATAGACTAGAAGCCTGGTGCACAAAAATTCGTATACTCAGGGGGGTCCCTCAGCCTGGCCTGCGCCCTCTCACAGTCCAGGACCCCTCGGGAATGTCCACCTGCTGGCTTAGGCCCGCTCCTCAGGGAATCAGGCCTAAGTTGGCAGTCAGACATCCCTCTGGCAGCCCGGGAGCCCTCGGAGGATATCCGACTGTCGAGGAGGCAGGAGAGGCTCCCACCACTGCTGCTGCACTTGCAGACGTCAGCCCAGCTTATGGCTGAGCGGAGCTCCCTCTGTGGGAGTGTACTGACCACCAGGGGGCAGCTCCTGCATTGAGTGCCTGCCCCCTGGTGGTCATTGTGTGTCATAGTGACTAGTTGTTCAGCTGTTAGGGTCAATTTGCATATTACCCTTTTATTATATAGGATTCTTAAAGTCAAGAGTTTGGGAATCTTTGAGTTTTTTATTTACATAAATAGTCCAAATCTAGAATAATTTAATTTATTGAATCAATTTTTAAAGTTATGAGTATAATCAAGTATAAGTAGACACTCTCTTAAATTACATCATTATCAGATTTACCATTACCCAGAGAATAAAGTTCCTTCTATTACATTCTACTGTTCATAGATATTCACAAGGTCAGATCAGATGAAGGGGTGAGGAATACAGCCTACTTAGTAAGAGGAAATGAAAAGTCATATAACAAAAGGAGTGCAAAGGAAGGGTTGGGGCCATTATTGCAATATACTAGAGTCCCTGTGAATGATTTCCCTTATTCAGTAGGTATTATTTATAATATAATTTCTAATTCTTTATAATTCTTTATAATATATAATTTATATATTCTTTTTAATGAAAAAATCTCTCTCAGAAGTTCCAATTTACTTTTTCAGTCTATCTACCATTACTTTCCTCTTTCCCCTACTTACAAACTAATTTGGATCCTTCATTTATGTGAAAGAGTGCTTTCTCATAAATTATCTCAAGATTGGTGTCATTGCCATTTTGTAGTTGTAAAAACAAGACCCTTCAATGTTAAGCAAGCTGTCCTGGGTGATGCACTGAGTAAGTGGCAGATGTGGGGATGGCGCTGGTCCAGGCCAGGGCTCAAGTCACCTTACCAGGCTGTCCCTCCAAGTGAGCAGTAACAGTTTAACTCATGTATTTAAAAGTGCCTACACTCCACAAAAGCATTTCTGGGGACATCTTAGGGCTAATGGTAGGCAAACTTGACTGCTGACTTTTGAAAGATAGTGATCTTAGACACCAGTTAAATTTCCTATATAGAAAACTTTGAATCAAATTTCAAATGAAACAGTGGAGTCAGTTAATAAGAAATCATCCCTTTAACATAAAAATTCACTGGTCTTTTAGAAGCAGATGCTGAAGAGGTAAAATGGATATTAATGTCTTGAGATATACAGCTTGACTTGCTTTCTTAGAAAATGATAAGTAAAAGCTGCCTCTCTGCTTTGTTAGAAAATAAAAGAATAAAAGGAAAGCAAATGTACCAGAAAGTCATTGCTAACCAATGGAAATAACAGCCTTACTATTATTTCAAAATTAGCCCATTAACTGGCCATTATTGACCTTCCCTACCTGCACACAGTTTTTGATGAATGACCTTGACCAACCCCCTTTATAAACAGCTAATGATATTTACTAGTGGAAATATCT